CTGACTCATCATTTCTGAATGCTTAAATTGTCAGCAGCTTTCCATTGCTGGTGCAGTGGTTGTGCTGACTCAGGATGTCTTTACAGCCATCCACCATCCACAGGAAAATATGCACTTCACAGACCCATGCAGGCCATACAGTGCATGCCAGTGTTCCCTACATTAATGGAGATCCCATATGCCTCTGGTTACACATGGTTTGTTAATTATTCCTGCCTGCCTGCTGCAATAGCAAAGCTCCTGATGTTAAAATTAAGATGGGAAGATGGATTCTGGAAACTTTTCTTTAAATATATCTAAAATTATGCTGTTTATGTATTAGGAAAGAGGGTGACATTTTAAAATCTGTATAATTCATGTCTGTGTGTGACACAGGCAAGGAGCAGATACATTTTGTTACTCAAAAGGAGATCCTCAGTTTCACAAATAGCAGTTAAGTAGCTGTCAGGTTTCCTAGGCCCTGTACCAACATCTGGAAAATTTACACCTTGATTGCAGTCTTGCTCTTTCTCATAATCCAGTAATAAGGAAGCATTTTGAAAACAATTCTGCAATGAAAAAACACTTCTGTTAAAGTTTTGGATGTGCAGGCATGGGCACATGGACAGAATGCACACACCAACACCTGCACGTGAAATAAGCAGGCAAAATAACTGCAGCATCAAATCAAGCTCCCCAAATCTTCTGTTTAAAAACTGTTCTTAGTTGGTTATAACAGACCCAAACCTTACTTAGTTGCATATGACACAAGTGTCTGTCCTACCTTGACTGGTTTTATTTCAATCCAAAGGATTCTACAATGTCTACAAATAAAGCTCGGGGGAAAGGCATTGTTGTCTCATGGTAGCAATTCCTAGCTTGGAGAGGGAAGCTTCTCATTCCAGTGTGGAGGAGGCACGTGCTGAGCTAGTAAAGAACAAGTGAGGGAGCAGTAAATGGAGAGGGGGAGGCAGGAAGAACCAAAGGCTCTGTTTTTTTGGCCAGAGGAAGACTTCTGGTGCTATATGAGGTGGTGGATTAGAGCTACCCAAGCAAGGCCAACTTTCCTGAATGTGTGATGGAAATGGGGATGCCTGGTACACATGTAAACACCACAGTACAGTGACCTGTATGTAGATGTTTTTATGCTGAACTGAACCCAGCCCTGCTTGACAGGAGCAACTGATAACTCTGAGAGATGCTTGAGGAACAGTGCTGGGAGTAGAGGCTCTAAAAAAACAACTAGGGCTGGAATTGGGACTCAAAACTACATGGACAACCCAGGAGACTAACATTTGGACTTTGCAGGGCAAGAATGTGGGACTAGAACAAGAAGCAGAAGTAGTAAGAATTGGAAATAATGAGATATGGAGAATAGAACTAAAATAAAGAACCAAAGGTGGTGTAGGGCAGTCTGGAGACCAAAAAAGGACAAGATAAAAGAAGACAAACCTGTAAAGAGTGGACAAATGCCTGGAAAACAATACCAGTAGTTGGTAAAAATTCTGCTCTTTTCTGCTTGGAATGGAACCTAAATTTCCAAAATCTTATTGTTCCTGTTCTCAGCAGATGCCATTTACAATGTTTACCTTAAGAACAGAGGCAGAATGATAGAGGGGAATTTCTAGAGATGGATAATAAGGGGTGAGGAGCTGATGTTCCCAGTGGAGGTACCTGAGAGGATTATTACTTTGGCCAACAGTTGTATGGTCCCATGGACTAAATGTCCATTGGTGACTGGAGCTTTTTGAGTAAGGTCCTGAAGAGCATCTTTGCTTTAGTTTCAGTTGGAAGGACTCCATGTGGTCCAAAGTATGGTAACCAAAGTATGGTAAATATGGACAAACTGAACATTTACTTCAAAAACACACCATAGATTTTCAAACTAAATCATTAATTTCTGTGCTGGACACCTCCAGTGTGACACCAGCAGGAAGGTGTCCCATGTTCCTCTGGCCAGAAGCTGACAGTGCTGCTTCTTTCTATTACACCATGACCTTAAGGAACAGAGGCCTAAAGCAGCAAATCTAGAGGTGTTGACACTGTTGGCATACTTGTAGGTGTTACATGTGAAATACCTGGGGTTTGGTTTACCTCCTCAAAGCCCAGCAGTCTGTACACACAAGTTCTGCTGAAACCAGTTGCATTACCAAACATTTCACAGTTGAGGAGCACTGGCCTCTATTCAGACACCTTTTGTGTAAGTATTCAGCGCTGATCTTTCATTAAAACATCCCTTTTCCTTTTTCTTCTTTCATTAACCAAAAGAGTTGTGTAATGAAGGAGACAGCAGGATGCAGAATTCCTACCTCATCTGTGGCAGAAGGGGCAAAATGCCCATTGACATAAAAGTTCATGATAAAGGCATCTAAACCTTAAAGAGAAAGGGCTCCTGGTGAAGTCATCAATATTCTTCATAGATAGTCACAGTTTGTTCTCATTTTTCTGAATATCTAATTTAAGACCTTGAAATGTATATTACAGACAGATAAACAGTGTTTCAGAACACCTGCAAGTGCAGTCCAGGAGTGCTGTCCTTTGAGTACAGTCAATACTGTGCAATGCTGCATACACTGGAAAACCAGCTCAAGGTGTTTCACTCCACACTACATGCTTTCAAATTAATAAATGTAGTTTGACATTAACTTCTGTGCTCCTCACCTGCAAATTTAAGATAAAAATTGCCACTGAGGTGTTGCAAAACTAAATTAATAAATGTGACCATGTGAATCCTGTAGTAGTGCATGCCAGAGGAATGCAGAGCATAAAGAAAATAAATCCTGCTGTAAACCATGAAATATGTAGTAAATAAATCCTCAGACCGCACACAGAATTTAAAATGAAAAATACTATCAAATAGCAGCTCATCAGCTGAATGTCATCCTGTCAGTGCATTGAGTGAGTCAAGGATCCTTTGGATCATGCACTGAAAGATTAAACTGTAATGCAAATATACCAGGGGCAAGCTAAGAATGCACATAAATCTTCTATTTAGGCATTTTCAAATCTGTGAGTTCTCAAGTTTATAACCCTACCTGGAGAACAGCCCATTTCACAGTCCGTGCAGACTAAGCCAAGTATTTTATCCACCTTTGTAAGTGTAAATGGCTTTTCATCTTTTTCTAAATGATCACGTGATGAGTCTCTATGACTTGCCTTTTGAAAAATCTAACCATTTCTAGAACTGATCCATTAAACTGGAGCTGCTCCATTGCTTTTTTTCCCCCTCAGTTTCATAATCTTTATTTCTGTATCTGTTGGTAATGGAGTCCAGGGTTAAACATAATTTGGTCAGGTGTTTTGCTTCCAAAAGGCATGAATGCATCTGGACATTTTACAGTGGCTTTTCTGAAGAACTTTAGCTAGTGTGATATCTTGTGATTGATGAATTGAAGGCTAGAAGCAAACAAGACACCTTGTTTTCAGCAAGTATTGAGCAACAAAGGAAACCAATGTTTGTTAACATGGGATGGTTTATGTTCTATGTTTTGCACATAAATAGAATATAACTGGGGTTGGTGTCTGTGAACTGAGGTACTATATTTTAGATACAGCCAATAGTCAATAATGTACAAGATTTGGGCAAACTTCAACAAGAGAAAAGTGAGTTAGACAAAACCTTGTAATAGTTTGTGAAATGCAGACTGGGCTCTTAGCCCGCCTCTACCCCAGTGGGTCCATTTATTTATATTCCACATGGCTACAAAAATGATGGAATTGAAGATATTTGTGATGAAAGGAAAACTTCTTGTCCCCTAATTTATGTTAGCATTGCTCAATTATTCATTGAAGTTCAGAAATGAAATATGAAACAAATGTGAATAATGGAATTGGGCCAAGCTGTGTGTGTGATATGTTGAGCAGTCAGCATCCTTATGGTACCTGCATTCAAACATTTTAGTATGAAGAGTGCTCCTCATTAATCTTGTTCTTATACAGTCTGAAATCCATATGCTTTTACTCTCTCCCAGAAAACAACTTTTCCTTCATATACTTTATAGAAATTGAAAAGCATAGCTATAGCATGCAAAGTCGAGATGAAAATGGGGAAAAATGATGAAAATAACTTGGGGAAATGTGACATTCACTGTTTCTAACAGAGAGAAGAGACACTTCCCTGAATGTGGTATTTTCCTGGAATTTACGACTTCAGTGTTTAGGTAAGGCAGGGCTCTAGGGCAGGTAGCACCTGCTCCATATATGTCATCAGCCAAGGTTATTTGGGCAAGATCAAAACAAAATGGACTTTTGCAGAATTTTAGCTCCGTGTTTAACCCAGAAGAAAGTTGTTTGTTGGTCTCTGGGAGGTGCCTGCACTCCACACAGGCAGCATTTCACAGGGATAAGAGAGAGCTGGGACAGTTCAGCCTGGAGAAGGGAAGGCTCCAGGGAGACTTTAGAGCATCTTCCAGTGCCTAAAAGGGGCCTATAAGAAAAATGGGACAAAATTTTTAGCAAGGTGTGTTGCAATAGGACAAGGGGCAGTAGTTTAAAAAACTGAAAGAGGATCAATTCAGACTAGCTATAAGGAGGAAGTGTTTTTACAATAAGGGTGGTGAGACACTGGCACTAGCACTGGTGACTCTCTGGTTGCCCAGAGAGGTGGTGGATGCCCCATCCCTGAAAACATTTAAGGTCAGGTTGGACAGGGGTTTGAGCAACCTGATATAGGTGAAGATGTGCCTGGGGCTGGGCTGCTTGGGGCTGGACTCCATGGACAACTCGATGTTTTGAGTCATCATAAGAAATTTACTATGTCCGCCAGGCTTTCACCAGCAGGTTTCTGTTTTCAGAGTTAAGCCTATATTGTGTTCCACAGTTTTGTAGGTGAGGAAACTGAATTGCAGAGCATTTAATTGTCTTCTTCATACCTGCAGACCTGGAAACAACCAAGAAATACCAATCTGCTATTCCTCACAGTATATCTCCGGATTTGATGCATTACTTATTTCCAAATGATTGCATTGGTTGCTCCAATAGTAACTTTCCACACTGATTATTTTATATGCTTTTCTTTCTAGCTGATTTTTTACTATGGAACTGGGGACAGCTGGTGTCCACAGCACTACTATGATGAGATCAAAATGGATTTTCCAGACGGGGACATCCGGCTCTGTGAGAAGGGGCTCCGCCACGCCTTCGTGCTCGATGCCAGTAAGGAGATGGCTGCCATGATCACAGACTGGCTACAGGATGATCTGACCAAATTATAAACACTAATTCAGTCATCAACAAGAAAATGATGTAATTATTTTGTGAACGTGTAAATTTTTTTTTGTGAGAGAATCTGTCTATTTTTGTTTGTTTGTTTACTATAGATTATGGCTTGTTTTCTAATGAGATTTAGAGAAAGTTAAAGAGAGTCTGGCTGGTCCAAAGTATAGTTTTATTGACTCAGCGTAGTTTCATCCTGAGTCTTCAGGACTCTGGAAGACTTGGCAAGGGTGGAATATTTATTGTCTGCTGGCACTCTAGACAATGCTGGTACAATGGTACCTGAGCTACTACCACCCCACTCTCTGCTGGAGAAGTGTTGGAATGTGGGTGGATCCTGGCAATGCATCCTGGCATTCTGTAAAAGGCCTGGCCCTCTCCTCGTGTCTCACCCATGTGTGTCAGCCAGGTGCACGGCAGCCAGAACAGCCCAAGGCCCTGGACAACCCTGACTTTGTCTCCTCTGGGTCAGAGGGGGTTGGTGGTCAGGCTGAGTTCGGGATGAGTTCAGGGAAGATGTGTAGATCAGGTGTGCAGTTTCTCCAAGTCTCATCAGGGGTTTGAGGCACTGCCAGGACTCCACAGGGGATGAGAAATGCTGTAAAGTATCTGTGGCTGCTCAGCAAGGGAATACATAAGGATCTCTTACCTGGAACATGGCCAAGTGTTTCATTTTTCAATTGACTGTAGAGAAGGGAAAGTACACTGGTCAAAAATGCCAGTATTTAACAGTTAAAATGGATTGCAGAATCCATGTATAACAATTTCTAGGTGGCCTAGCTCTCCTGATGAAGTCCATGAAAACGGTGCTTGCTCAGCAATTCTAAAGAATGAAACCACTTTTGATGCATGTCTAAATTTCAGTTCTTTGCTCTGAGGACTGAAGTATGAAATTTTCTGCCAAGCCACAAATTAGGTAAGTTCACCATCAGAAAACATCTGTTACTGTGCCACAGCTGCACCGTGACATGGCATGAACGTTACTGTTGAGAACCAGACTCTTGCATGGTGCTGACAAGTTCCCTGTTCCTCACATTTGGTGAACCCTTTCCTTTACAGATGGAAAAAAAATAGAAAAAAGCATCCTACCAGTTGTGATAACAAAAGAAGTTACAGGGAATAGCTAGAAATGAAAATATTGCAAGTAAGTGGAACAGAGCCAAGTGTAATCAGGAAAAGCTTTCTAGCCATGAACCTGTGAAATAGTCTCCCTGTGGAGTTCATAAAGACATTTATAAATAAGCAAAACACTACAGAGTATAGTCAGGGGAGGTCCTGCCCTTGCAAACAGATGAATTTAGATGATGCATTGAGTATCTAACTTACATGATTTATTACCAGTTTTGATACGTGTGAGAATGGTATTGGAGAATGTTCTCTGGGATGCAGAAAGATCAATTAATTGCTTCGTTTTCTTACACTATTATACACACCCCTTCCACTGCTCTCTAACCCCCCCTTGAACCTTTCACTAATATTTAGAACAAGTTGTAATAGAGTTCAGTTTCTGGATATTCTGGGCTAGTTTTCAAACCTTCAGACTCACACTGGATTTAAGTGACCTTCTCTGTATCAGAAACTGGTTTAGCTTTTGAGACTAGCCAGTGAATTTTCCAATTACACTGCCATGTAATGAAATGGTACTGATGAGTGGGGCAGGAATGTTGGCAACACATTTTCAGCCACATGGGGAGGAACCTGACACGTTCAAAGTGAGGGGACTGTACCCATGCAACTGATTCTGCTCATTGGAGAGTCATGGGACTTTCTTGGAGAGTCACAGGACTTTCCATCTTTTTACAGGTCCATATTCAGTCATGATCAAAACAATCCTTGTGCTCACTGTAGAAATCCATAGTTGTATGTGTCTGTGTGATAGCCCCCAGGTGTTGGCATCATCCCAGTTGGATGGCCTTGTGGCAGATGCTCCCTGCATCTGTTGGCTGAGGTGCTCCCTGGGGCAGAGCCGGGGAGGACGTGCACATACGTGGAGATACATTAATGTACACATATATGTACATGTGCACCTGTTTGTATGTCAGCAGCATAAAAACTACAGTTCACTTGGTTGTTTTGGTTTGCACATTGATCTGGTTGAACAAAACATTTGTTCTTCAAAGTATGTGGAGTCAGGGAATCGACAAAGACTTTGTGGGAGTTCAGCTGTTGTAGTGGCTCTCCTGAGACCAGATGGAATCTTGCATTAACCAAAGATGACAAGCAGCTACTATAGCCTGGAAACTGAAGCACCTACGAGATGCAGTTGTTTACAGTGCATTATGCGTATACTTTGTATGAGGAATTAATTTAGCAATACTTGTACTTGACTTGTGTATGCCTTTTATAAAAAGTTAATCCATTATACTAAATCCTAATTGCATTAAGACCTAAACTGAGATTAGGTCTGGTCAGTGAAGACCAGATCTACTGCAGAAAAATGCCTTACAATTTTCTTAAAAAAGAATTTTCTCTAGTATTATCAAAACCATATTGATTCAATTGCTACCTTTCTCCTAGAAGCTGTTACTGTAAGGCTAAGATCTGAAAATTTGCTATTCTATTCATTGCTAAAACACACGGGCCTAGTTTCCACAGCTGTATTTCCTAGGAGGAGCAGATCCCACACAGTGAGAATCCAGCTCGTTGGAAGCCCGTGGTGTCACCCCAGGCAAAGTGCAGTGTCAAAAGTGCTCGTGGTCCAAATGTGCCAATTTACCATGAAAACACAGTGTGGTTTTGCCTATTTTAGACTATTTAAGAATTCTTGGAAAACCTATCACAAATATATTGACTGTAAACTGTAGCACCTACTCACTGTCATTCACATCTGTGCTTGATTCTCACCACACCAGTAACCCTGCTAGTGCAGTGACTTTGACTCATGTGCAAGTGTTTTGCTAGATCAATACCTTTTAATAAAAGTACACAATTCCAATAACAAAAATAAAGAAATTTATGGTAAAATGTAACTTGATTCTTTGTTTTGGTAACATGTTTAGTCCTAGTTCAGCTCCTTTATTACTTCATGCATACAAAATCTACAAAAATACTTGCCAAACCCCAAATTTCACATGCAATGCAAACATCTGCCAAGTGCACAGAAAATCCGTGGGTGGTAGGCACCTGACTCGCTTAAGCATTTTTATCCAGAGCCCCTCCAAAATAATCAATCACTTTCCCCTTGCTGCCTCCAGCTCCATGTTTGTGCTCTGAATGAGCTATAGAGTGTGTGGATCAGTGAGGTTTGTCCCTTCAGGAAGCTGGATGAGTGCTTGCCCAGTGTTTATGGTGAAGAATTTGGATTTGGACTCCAAGCTAAACACCAGATTCTTGACTCATGGAGACAGATTGCATACATGAGCCACAGCAGATAATCTCTTCTCTGCAGCTGAGGTCATTTATGTATTTATTTTACAGAAAATGGGTTTACATGTGCATTCACCCCCCATCCCTTTCTTTGGTCCAGCTAATTGCCAGCAAAGACTTTAAACAAGATGTTCAATGTTATCATTTTAAAGTCACTCAGACTATTACTGGGTTTGGATAAACTCACTAGACCCAAGAGACTTGTTTTACTCTGTGTCACAGGTCATGCTCAGACTCCCAACTACAATAAGTTTCTGAGGCTCTTCACTTGCAGGAAAATGTTCTCTTTCCTGGCACATTTACAAAATAAGAATCCAGAGAGCGTTTGTGAGTGACCAGGAACTATTAAAACAGTATATATATTTCTGGAACAGCTGATGGGGGTTGAGCACAGGCAGCAGATCCAGCAGTAACAGCACAAGCAGCTGCCAGGAGCGATCGCTGCTCTCAGTAGCATCATGCAGAAGTTATGGAACAGCCTAACATTCGTGCTCAGATGGGACAGGCAGGGAGGGATTTAATTAAAAACTCTTGCAGAGTGCTTGAGCTGATAGTCACAAGCCTTGGTTTTGCCTATTGCAGCAAAGTGCTTGCAGGAGAATAGTTGTGTTGAGGGAAGTAGTTTGCAGCAGCTAATAAAATACAGGGTGTTTTTTAAAACATCTAACTGACTGTACCTGACTGCAGGGCTTGCAATTCAGACACTGAAAGATCTTTTCCATCCTGTTTGGACCAATTCACACTGAAGGAAGAAATTGGGGAGGGGGGGGCGCTCCCATTCCCCCCCTTTGAACATCTTCAGCAAAGGTCCCAGACTGAAATACTGTGCTTTGTACATTGAGAGAAATCCATGAGATGAGATGACTTAGAATTAGGAAAAACAGGCTTTCCCAATGCCAAGACTCATCTAGTCCTCTTCCTTAACAGGAACCCTTAAAATTTGATAAGTATTCAGCTGTTCCAATCTAACTTGTAGGACACAGGAATACCATTTACAGAACATAAATGTTTTGAAGTGCTAACATGCTCTCATCGTGCAGGGGGTACTGCAACTCATCGGTGCTTATAGGAAAGAACTTGTATTTTCACCCTCAAAATAAACCTTTGGGAGTTTCAGCATCCAGAGTGGTCTAGCCTCAATTCAGATCATGTCCTGATTTACCAAGGCTTTGCATTTCTTTCTATTGTATTGATGTGTGACGTTGGACATCTCCTCTGTCCTTGCTGTGCCTTTGATTTCTCTTCAGTTATAAACTTAGTTTATGTTGTCAATCATGTGAGCAGTCTGCAGTGCTGTGGAGTAAAAACTCATGTCCATTGAACACAAACCCCACCACTCCCAATGGTTTCAGAAGATGTGGTGCAATGCCTGTGAATAACCACTTGCTCTCACCCTTCAATGTTCTGTTGGAAACAGCTTGTTACAATAGCACCTTCCTGTAAAACTGCTCACAGAGTGGGCTAGGGGACAAGGGGGAAAATGCCATCCTGCCTCCCTCCCCAGAGAGCCTTTACCAAAAGATCCCCTCAGCCAGTGTCACCATCAAATAGTGGGGATGCAGAACTCCGACCAAAAGGTGAGTCCTGCTTGGTCTGTTGCTCAACGTGCACTGGGAATAGAAATGACCATGCCTCACTCCAGTTCAGTTCTCCACCTTTCTTCTGGACCTTGAAAGCTGAGTTTGCTTTGTTATGTCTAAAACACATACCTGATGCCTTGAGGACTTCCTCCATGCCTCCAAATGTGCATTACTCCACACCTGAATGTCCACAGTACTGTGCGCTTAGGGTTGTAGGAGAGAGTCAAAATCCTTATTACCTTCACTCTCTGTCTCCAGGGCACTTGAGTGATGTCCATTGCAGGAGCACCTGCTAAAGCCCCTCACTCAGTCCAGTGTCTCCTTGAACACTTCCACAGATGGGGCATCCACAGCTGCTGTGGACAGCCTGTTCCAGTGCCTCACCACCCTGACAGGAAAGAATTTCCCAATATCTAATCTAAATCTCTCCTCTCTTAGTTTAAAACTATCCCCCCTTGTCTAATTACTGTCTGCCTGTGTAAAAAGTTGCTCCCCTCTTTTTGTAAGCTCTCCTTTAAGCACTGAAGTCCACAATGAGGTCTCCATGGAGCCTTCTCTTGTCCAGGCTGATGGAATCAGTGGAGGGAATCCTGGCTGGCTGGCTGGAGCTGGGTAGCTTCTCGCCACGGCAGGTGAACACTATTCAGAAACACAGGGAAGAAAAAGGACGTACATTTTCATGATAAATCCATCACAAACACTCACTGTT